AAGGGGCGTAACATTTCCGTCACACGCTTGAGGTATTCGGCCAATCACAACGCACTGGATAGCTGGCCAATCACAGCACACCTCGCTTTTTCAGACCAATGAGCTTTGTAAAAATCGATGCGTTTCAGAAAGGCGGGGCATAGAGGAGAAACACATTTCATTACACCAAATACACAAAATAATGTTCTTTTTAGCAGCATCATATGACCCCTTTAATATAGTTAACTTAATCTATATCACACAAAGAGTACCGTTTTTCTGCAGATATCAGCATGATAACACATTTAATAATCATTTTATACAAGTTCAGTAAAGCAATAAGTGACGACATTTTAGAGGTAATATTGCTTGTTTTTGCTCAATTTTGCTAACGAAAATAGTTCCTAACAAAGATCACAGCACTGTTTTGTGTCTCTGAGCAATGGACGGTGTTTATTTATTGAATGAATCAGCTTTTTGAACGAATCGGTTGAATAAATGATTCAGCGATTCACTCATTAACACAGTCAAATGCTTTGTTCCTGAATGAATCAGCCATTTGAATTAATCTGTTGAATCTAAATGACTCACTCATTAACAGTCACTTGCTGTCACCTACTGGCGGTTTTAATTTCACATTTCGACTATTTTTTTCATGTTTTAAATTATTTCAAATATCAGTATTCAACGTTTTATGTTAAAAACAAAACATTAGGCCTATTTATGCATCTGAAACTGCAGTTTAAATGCATCTATGTGAGATACATAAACTGTGTAAATACATCTAAATGCTATTTCAGATGCAGATTCCAGAAATGTTTTCTTATGTTGGAATGAAAGACACTAAGTACCGGATGAAGTGCTTCTTGTTCTTACCCAAAAATACAAAATGGAAGAAAGAGTTCAAACTGAACACAATCTTGCTACTCAAGCTGTGTATGACATTTTTTTATATATATATTTATTTGCTTCTTTTCCATTTTGCATTTACTTGTACTTTTACTTTCAATACTTAAGTACGTTTAATATATATTTAAAAAAATACTTTTCATACTTAAGTACAATAGATATCACATACTTTAAGACTTTTACTCAAGTAATATTATAAATGGTGACTTCAACTTCTACGGAGTCATTTTCTGGTAAGATATCTGTACTTTTACTTGAGTATGGCTTTCAGGTACTTTATACACCACTGTTCATGAGACAAGTAGTGTTGTCCAATTCACAAATCTACTCTTTTAAACCGAACAAAAATGATCTAAATGATTTTATCATGAATTTTACTCATTTGGTTTTCAAGTTCAGATGCAATAATCCGTTTGTAGCTGTTAAAGGCTCAATCGTTTGGTAAGTGAAGCCGTTTTCCAAGCTGTGGATAAACCGGGGGTTCAGCCGGTGACTCAAGGGAGACGGATTTCACGACTGGCTTGCTCAGGGGACAGCGGCCCCTCTCATTTAGGTCTTTATCTCTCGAACATTAGGCTATGTAAGTAAGCCGCACAAAGGAGCTTTCGCCTATTGCTCCAACTAACGGAAGGATTAAGGATTTGATTCATTTTTGCAGTTCTTTCACTCAGTCTCTAAGCGACTGACGTTGATGCAGTGCGCTGGGTCCCATCTCTCTTTCGACGGCATAAATGTCTCCCAAGGGTGACGGGACAACGGATGGAAGGCTGTGGTTTATGGGAGCAGTACATCAGGACCTTGCTGCCAGGATTCAAGGAATGCATGCATATCCATGCTTAATGACTTTGTGTGTGTGTGGCTCATGACAGCACAGCGATTATGACTGGATGAATGTGGCAGTTATTGTGGGCATTCAGAGGCAGCCGCAGCATGAATGGGCCAAGCAATGCTGGCAGTAGGGATACGACAGAACCGCTGGATCGTCGCCTGGGCCTTTTGTCTCACAGAGCCATGTTGTGTTTTTTTTAAATCTCACCCGATCCCACAAAGCACTGCGAATTCAAAAGGCCCAGAGGAGAGACAGTGTGTTAAAATCTCGGGTAGGAGTATTACCAACAATTCTGCTTACATTAGCATTTAAAACAACCTTTAAGCGATTCCTCATACTTCATTGTGCCTGCGCTATGGTGCTGCTACCAGTAAACAAGGGTTCTGTCCTTATTCACCACGAATTTAAATCATAAGCAGGAATTGGCTAAAACTACCATTCCTTGCATTCTCATTAAGAACTGCTGCACAACCTCTTCGAGAGGAAAAAATAGACATTTCGGCTCATTATTTTCCCACAGATAATGTTTAAATTGCCGCATGAATGTATGCAAAAACACAGCGTTGAAAAATTGAGGCTACTATGTGGCGATTCATCATTTGACAGAACGATTTCTGTCACTGTGTTTGATTTCTGTTTTTCTAAGTATGTCCACTAAAATAATCTTTCTCGGGCAAGCCGCAGTCTATTTAAAAACCTTAGACCACCTCTGTCAGAAAAGCAATTAAGTGTGAGGTTTTCATTTTAATTTAAATGAGATTATATTACAGTAGCATGAAAAAGGGGACTATTCAAATGAAAAGAGCATGAGTGTTCTTCTCTTTATCAGGACCAGCAGTTCTGAGGCTTCAGTGGGATAGAGGAGAGAGAGAAAGAGATAGATGGAGTGACTGCATTTAGAAAGGCGATTTGCTTGTGCCGTGCTCTGCTGGAGAACACTCCCTTAAAAAGGAGGCATATTGGTTGAAGCCTTCAGATGAATTAATAAAAATTTTGCAACTAGAAAAGACAATTACAAGCATCTCCTGGGCATTACAGTTGACAGAGGCATTTTCTAAAGCCCGTCTCTGACAAAATCCAGCTTCTCTAGGGGAGCCTATCTTTTCTACAGGCAACTAACAGGCCTTTATGTGCTTTCGATTATAAACTGCTTCACCCTCTTCAATATCATGGCTGCTCGTATCTTGGGTAATCAAGAGAAAGCTATTTTTGTTGCCGAAACGATGCCGCTACAGAATCTTTTCTCTTTCTGAACAATGAGCAGTTTTAGTTGACACAAAACTCGCTTGCTTTTTATTCACAGTTATTATCTGGGTGATTTAATATGTCTTTGTTTGTGGAAATCTGTATGATAACATTTCTCCTTGTTTCTGTCTTTCTCTCCGTCTGTTTAACCACTTTTCTCTTTGTTATTTCTCCCTGAAGCAGCAGATGAGCTGGGAATTGAGTTTATGGGTAAGGAAATGTATTTTTTTATTATTTCTTTAACCCCTTTTCTTTTCTCTCTCATTAACATGTGCACAGAAGTACTTGATATTAAATTATTTTGGAATTCTGTAGGTGTGACATTCTGTGCTCCATTTTATATACACTGAACAAAATTATAAACGCAACACTTTTGTTTTTGCCCCCATTTGTCATGAGCTGAACTCAAAGATCTAAGACTTTTTCTATATACACAAAAGGCCTACAAAAACAAAAGTGTTGCGTTTTTAATTTTGTTCAGTATATAAAGTTTTAAATGAAGTCTCTTATGCTCATCAAGGCTAATTATTTAATCAAAAAATACAGAAAAAAGTAATATTGTGAAGTATTGTTTCAATTTGTAATATTGGATTCCTATTTTAAAATACTTTAAAATATTATTTATTTATTTTTATACTGACCCCACACTTTTGAATAGTACATTTACATTTAAATTTAGTCATTTAGCAGACGCTTTTATCCAAAGCGACTTACAAATGTGGACAATGGAAGCAATCAAAATCAACAAAAGAGCAACGATATGCAAGTGCTATGACAAGTCTCAGTTAGCCTAACGCAGCACACATAGCAAGGTCTTTTTTTTATTCTATAATAAATAAAAAGAAAACAGATAAAATAGAAAAAGAATAGAGCAAGCCAGTGTTAGAGGCCTTTTTTATATTAGTATAGATTATTATTATATAATATTAGAATAGTAGTGTATATTGTAACACAACATTTCTATTTTGAATAAACACTGTAAGAGTCCTGAAATAAAAAATAAAATAGAAAACTGTGGCCGGCTCCAGGCATGGGCAGGGGTGAGCCCACCCAAATGACTGTCTTGCCCACCCAATCAGAATCAGATAAAGATTGCGTTATTTATTTATTGTGCAGTGATTAAAACTGTTTTGAGAAGTATAAGATATATATGGAGACTGCTGCCCCAACAATCATAAAATAACACCAGAAAATAGCAGCCTTTTTTTTTTATTAGCTGAATGCAAAGCGCGCTGAATTCACACGGCTTCAGTCTGTTGCAGAAAAGCAGAGGCTGACAGCGAGCGAAAACAGGCAGAAATATTTGTGCGCTATCACGGGGAGTTTGCAAGTTACAAGGAGTTTAATACATGAATATGTATCATAGCCTATCACTGAAATTACCTGAGCAGTTGAATTAATGTTCTATAATAACCCGCTCATTCAATAATGTGCATTAATTGCATGGACGGGGCAAGATAAGCGTTTAAATGAATGTTGGCTAAACAGTTCAGTTGAAAGCTTACCCCTTTTGGCTTGCTGTTAATGCTGAATGTAAGAATGAAAACTGAAAGTAAACACTGAAATAAGATCTTGTGCGATGAAAGGTGCGTTCGTCGTTACTATATCAACAGCAACTATAATCCAGTGAAGCAAACTATTCTACTTTTTTTGTGAAAATCCACCGCTTTGAATTGAAAGTAGGTCTGTCATTTACGTGATTCGTGTAATTCATAATTATTGTGACGATAATAGCATTGTTCTGTTTTGCGTTTTCAACATTAGGAATACAATTAAAATTGAATGGGTGAATATTTTAAAATAAAAAATATTATTTGCCGTTCAGATTGATTATTTAAAAAAAATCTTATTCTTGTTCTTTTACTTCTCTTTTGTCTTCTTTGAATTTATTCCACTAAATCCATTTAAATCCTTTATTTATTTAGTTCCTTTACCATTACCATAGTGGTTTGGTCTTTATATTTTCTTCAAAACAATGGTCCCCCCAGTGTTCTAGACATGATTATGGCCTTTTTTTTTTTGGTATAAATAAAAAAAGTTAGTTACATTTACATTTAGTCATTTGGCAGATGCTTTTATCCAAAGCGGCTTACAGTAGGGCTGTCATATAGGCCTACGTGCATTTTTAGATTTTACATTTTTAGTTGAAAAAAATCACCAGTGTAGAAACCATGAAACTATTCAATAAAGAAAAGAAAAAGTTTTTGTTGTAAAAATGTATGATATTCTAGGCTGCCCATGAAAACTTTTTTTCAGTATACATATAATATAGTTAATATATTTAATGTAGCAATATCTACAGTATAACCCTCACCACCACAAAAAAATAAAAGCCCACCCAGGATATCTGTCAGCCCACCCTTCTATAGCTGTTAATAACCGGGTCTGAATAGCAATAATATTTCACAAAGTTACAGTTTATTCTGTATTTTTGATCAAATAGATACAGCCTTGATGAAAATACAAAACTTCTTTAAAAACATTAAATATCTTACTGATCCCAAACGTTTGAATGGCAGTGTATATAATTTGTAATTATATTTTTAAATATTTTATTTTTATATAATTCGCTGTTAATTTTCTATATAATTTTAAATATTTTAATTTGAATTGAGAGACTTGAATTGAGATGCATTCGTCACACCGCAGAACCATTTAAATGGTTAAAAAGAATTTAAGACAGGCTCTTTCTCATATAAATTCCTATCAATTTAAACCTAGCATCTTGATGATGTTCGAAAAATAAACACCCACAGGCTTCTCCTCTTGTTCTTGACCAGCATTAATGTATACAAACACACATGATGCTCTCTGTTCCTCACAGAAGCCTAATGTTCTTGAGTTTCCATGGAAACAGAGCAAAAGAAATGTATTGTAAAGGCACAGGGCAGCATCTGTATGGGCGATGCGGTCTGTGCGGCTTGTGCACATACATGTGTGTCTGCTTCCACTTGTCTGTGCATGATGCTATGTATGTCGCTGTTAATTACTGCGAAGCCCAGAGGTGTGCACCTTGCTGAGGTTGCATGTTGCATAGCAAGTCTCTGGGGATGAGAAATATCACACAGCCCAGGGCTAAATAGATGCCTTTACCCTGACAAACCACAGACTTAAAGCAGTGTCAACAAACAGGAGCCCAAAAACTGCTGTGAAAATGGATTTGCCACAAGCTTTCTCCCTTTCTGTATCCACACACCCTGCCCTACCGTCCTCTCTCATGTGCCTGACAACTGAAAGCATTTCTTTAAGTGAACGAGTGAATCCTGTGAAGTTTTCCATTAGTCGTGCTTCACACGCTCGCCTCAAGATTTCCTCAAAAACTGTCAGAGAAGGAGAGATAAGGTTAAAGTGGAACTGATATGCATTTCTGCTTCTCGGAAATGACTGCCTCAGTGATTTTAATCTGGATGGTGAGCGAGTCCAGTTGTGGCCATTACGGAGCGTTTTCCATTTGAAAGAGAGACGGGAGGGGGGTGTTGAGTGCACGTGAGCATGAATGGTCAGCTCTGTGCATTTGTGGCATGAGAGAGGCATTTCAGTCACGGGTCTGTGTTTGTGAGGGAGTCTAGCCATCTGCTCGCAGAGACTCTCCACCAAACCGGGGCTCAGTGTCCTGTGAGGACCGGTCTTTTGGTCCCTGCTGTGCCACTAGCTGTTCTTGGTTTTCCACAGACACATGATGCTACAGTTTTGGATGGGCACAAAGACAGATCCATATAGCTTATTTACTGATTCTGGTGTAGTAAGAACAAAGCTCAGACCTGCATTCCTTTGAACACTTTTACAATCAATTGAACGGCAGGATATGAGTCACACAGCAAATCTCAGCATCCGTGTTCAGACATCTAGTGGAACTTCTTCCCAGATGAGTGCTAATTATGATCATTTAGATATGAATTGAGAATGCTTTATAAATTCCAATAAATGAAAGTGTAATTTATAACCAGAAAAGCAAGGTCAAGACAAAATGCAAATAGAAGAACACTTAATTTCCCTGCATGTTATTTATTTATTTTTTTTCTAACTTGTCGAGGTGACATTCCGCTTCCTGTCATTCCAATCCAAATTGCAGTTCAGTAGTGCTCGTGTAGGGCCCTATGATTTCCGTGATGTGGAAAGCGCGGACGGAATCACGGAATCCAGTCATAAAAACGTAATTTACTGTATAACGTGGAATGTCACAGAATTTGACACATTTTGGATGGATACAGCAAAAGGTCAGTACACTTAAATCAAAACACTATATAGACCAGTGTCTGTGAATATTAAGTCACAAAAATACAATTTAAATATGAATCCTGCATGTTCTGCACGTCTCTGTATGAATGAATGGCACAGATGTGCGGTTTCGTTTACGCTCGCGGTGTCTTCAGCCTCTGCCGCCTCAATATACGAGTACATGAACACAAACATAATCTCTAGAACTGCTCTGATAGTCACTTCATGAGCATTGTACCATTTCTTTTGAGTAAAACTATAGTCATATATACAAACAGAAACCTAAAGGTCTTCACAACAACCCGTCAAAATAAAAGTTTGGTTTAACTTGAAGAAACCATGACAGAAGTATTACTTGAATGTAATGAAAGTACTACTACTCATAATAAAAAGTATTATTAAAACATTATTTTTAAAGGAATTTTTACCAGAATTTATTTAGCAGAAAAATGTAAATACACAACATAGTATTTCTGGAAAAATTTAAATTAGTATGTTTTTGATTATTTATATTTAATGAAAACATTAAAATGGAATACAGAAAATTAATGGAATACTGAATTTGAGAAAAAAAAAACATTGCATAAGGCCTATAAAATGCAATTTTTGTTAAACTTTTAATAAATTGCTGTTTAATACTGTAAGTTTCATTATTTCAATTAATTAGACATGCTTTTGATGAATACAATTTAATTTAATTCATTAAACCATTACAATTCTAAAATTTTAAAAGTCTAGAATAATTAAAATGGAAAAAAATGGAATCCAGAAAAATTGAAAAAACTGAATTTAGGAAAAAAATAAAACAGATTTAATAGGGCCCTACTGGTGGCCTATCAACCGATCATTAGGCCGATTCTTTCTTCAAGCGCATTTCAAGCCTGCCTGACCTCTGACACATATGAATGTTTAGCTGACAGCTCCCTGCATGTTTCTCTGCTCTCTGTCCCTGATCATTAAATCAAATGTGATTGTGTGCACATGTTTGCATGCTAGTTAAATGATAGAACTAGCTGATTAGTTTTAAGACAGTCGCTTTCCAATCATCTTTAAAAATTCATATTCTCTCTCAGAGGGAATGTTTCCATTATTGTGACACTGAATTTTTTTTAATTTTTTTTTTATGTAAGAGCCAATTAGCTACACAAGATTCTTTTGTTCAATCAAGATTGGCATAGTGATGACTGTGAATAAAGCCTGAAGATGAGTGTGTGCTGTCTTGTCTGTCTTTTCAGAGAGTGCAGAAACCTATCAGAGACAGATATTGTCCATCTTCAGCATAGCCATGGGGATCAGCCTGCTGGGAGTGGCTTGCATGGCTCTTTACTGCAAAAACAAGTGAGTCCAAATCATCCTTGGAAGCTGGAATGACATTGTTTCAACATAACAATTCAGAGTGCATTTGTTTTCTGAAGGTAATATAAATAATAAAATATAAGACGACAATTAAAAATGAATTGACATTGCAATTCGTATATATAATGGCTTGTGCCTCTTGAAATTCCTGAAAAGAAAACATTGTTTAGTAGTTTGGAATAATCTTTTATTATTTCTTAGAGAATAAATATTGTAACAATATTACTTCTACTACTTTGAAAAGCTGTTGTCTGTAAAATCAGTCGTGTGTCAAGGTCTCATGAAATAATGAATAATTTTAACATTTTTGTGACACGGCAAGGTTAGGTTGTAAAATGTCATGATGCAACTCCCAACAAACATAATCCTCTGGTTTCTCAGACAAGGCTTAAGCCTAGTCCAGGACTAAAATGCAAGTCTGGGCTGTTTTAACTGAAAAAAACTTGCACTGACTGTTCTTAAAATATGTCAGTTCTGTTGTTTTGTCTCAAGATGCACATCAGTAGTGTTTTTATCTAAGGCACATTTATAGAAGTTAATTAAATGTCCTAATTGATCTATGGCCTAATCCTGGTGTTATCTAAGCCCTGTCTGTGAAACCGGGCCAATTTTTTTGTTATTTGTTGCAAGAAAAAAAATTAAAACATAATGTGTACACATAATGTTTTTTTTTTTTTTTTATCATATAAAACCAACATGAATACAAAAAAAAAATTAAAAATTCTAAGAACCTGTCTCAAACAAAGCTAGATTTTAAAAGATTTTTGCTTTTCTCTTATGCTTCACTGACCAAAGTCTCAATACAGGAAATGAAATTTTGTGGTTTAAAAATGTATTAACACTTTGCAGGAGACAAAGAGAGAAGCATCGAGCCCATCTGACCGAAATTCGCAACTTGAGGGACAGTACCGTCAACGCCTCGGGTATCATGTCTAAATCCAGCCTCAGACACGAGAGCACCCTCCAGCTTCAGAAGGTGACGTCTCGCAGCTGCTGTTTGTTTATGTCCCAGAGAGCAAATCTGCATGAAGTCTACATTTGTGCTGACAATGCACATAATGATCGCTTGTCCAAAAAATATGTGCGAATACCAAATATATACTTGTACAGTCGGAAATCAGTAGTGTTTTTATCTAAGGCACATTTATAGAAGTTAATTAAATGTCCTAATTGATCTATGGCCTAATCCTGGTGTTATCTAAGCCCTGTCTGTGAAACCGGGCCAATTTTTTTGTTATTTGTTGCAAGAAAAAAAATTAAAACATAATGTGTACACATAATGTTTTTTTTTTTTTTTTATCATATAAAACCAACATGAATACAAAAAAAAAATTAAAAATTCTAAGAACCTGTCTCAAACAAAGCTAGATTTTAAAAGATTTTTGCTTTTCTCTTATGCTTCACTGACCAAAGTCTCAATACAGGAAATGAAATTTTGTGGTTTAAAAATGTATTAACACTTTGCAGGAGACAAAGAGAGAAGCATCGAGCCCATCTGACCGAAATTCGCAACTTGAGGGACAGTACCGTCAACGCCTCGGGTATCATGTCTAAATCCAGCCTCAGACACGAGAGCACCCTCCAGCTTCAGAAGGTGACGTCTCGCAGCTGCTGTTTGTTTATGTCCCAGAGAGCAAATCTGCATGAAGTCTACATTTGTGCTGACAATGCACATAATGATCGCTTGTCCAAAAAATATGTGCGAATACCAAATATATACTTGTACAGTCGGAAATCAAGCCACCTACATGTGCTGTTAAGGAGATTCAAATAAAGTCCCCTGTGCATAGCAGTCACCAGTAATGAATACAATTGGCCAGCAGGCAGTTGGGAGGAATGATGCCCTCCATGGCTTTACTGCTTTCCCACCTGCTCCGAAAGATCCCTCAAGCCGACAGAAATAACACTGCATGCAGCTCAGGGAGTAAACACTGCATCTATCTGATACAACAGTCAAAGGCAGCCAGCCACCTAGCTGATGAAGAACTGGATGAATAGAGTTACATTTTCCAAACCGGAAGATCAATCTCTCTTTGCTGCCACTTGGCGGTTCAGTCTCATCCCATACACAAATGTTGATGCTCACGTTCCCGTGTGTGTCATCAGGTCCAAAGAGAGTGAGGAATCAAGCTTAAATTATTCCCAACGGTTTACATTTATGTTTCCCTACACAAGTAATTTATATGAAAATGCATATAGTGCGTAAATGACACAGGGTGCAGCATATCAGATGAGTGTCACTCTTGCTAATCCAAGCATGCACAGCAAACCTTTAATTGGACCGCTTATATAATCGTCGCCGAAATCTGCTGAGCCAGTAGCAGACGACTATAAAAGTAATTTAGGAAAAAGCTGAGAGGGGGAGCTCCAATCTTTTGTTCAGACTTCACTTGGATTTTGCATGTTTCACCCCTCCTTCAGAAAGTTTTTTTTACAATTACAGTGGCTGTTCTGCTTCTCTTCCTCTTTCTTTTCTCACCCTGCTGAGGCGATGAAAGGGTGGTCAGAAATCATCCAATTTTCTTGTTGGAGAGAAGAACAATGCTAACAGGTCCCCAAGGAAGCAGCAGTGTTAGAAGGACATGCTTTTTCAGCTGTAAAGCCCCAAACTAGTTTAAAGTCAAACTCAATCGTTTTAATGATGTTCCACCAGAGAAGCAGAGGGAGGGAGATTTCACTAACTGAAATAACTGCATTATCGGCTGTCTTTTCCAGCTCTGGTGACACTGGGAGGGGGGCTCGGGATACTTATTGCAGGCTGCTCTCAGATTGCTGGGTTGTTGTAAGATAATGGCTTTAATTTTAAGAGGGGACTGAAAAAAATAGTTTAGGAATTCATTAATGTAATCTTGTCTGCGATTAATTCCTGACTGGGGAAGTCGAAAGGCAGAATAATCAGAGTGTGTCTCGCTTAATCTGCAGTTTAAATGTAAAGTCTAATTAAAGTGGCTTTCCCTCACTGAGGGGCCTGTATATCACAGAGTGAACATCTCCATACGGCCTCTCTTCAGAGTTCATGATCCCTTCATTTTATCTTTGGCCTGTGTGTGTGTTCCTACATTTATCTGTCTGTACAAGTGAGGGGAAGTGAGATGAGCTGCTGTGCAACACTAAGAAAGCATGTCATTTACAGCTGGTTGTGTCCACACCACTTCATGAAATAGCTTGCAGTAGTGATGTATGTAATACAGAGGAAGCATCTCTAATTTCTAAACAAGAGTTTTCATTTTGTTAGTTTGTGTTATAATGAGTGGCAATCCGCCGCTGGAATTAGATTTTAATGTTTTGCTGAGTGGTTGTTACGGTTGTCATCATTGGCGGAAAGCAACAGTGTTCACATGGCTCCCAGATGCACACAGCTCGCTATCAGTTCTAGTTAAGTCACGAAACAAAATCAAACAAATGTGTTTCCATCACTATTCAAAGTGAAAGGAAGAGTGAATATTTTTATTCAGCAAGGAAGCATTAAATTGATCAAATGTGACAGTGAAGACATTAACAATGTTACAAAAGATTTATATTTCAAGTAAATTCTTTTCCTTTGAGCTTTCTTTTCAGCAAAGAATCTAAAAAAAAAAAAAAAAAACATGTATCATGGTTTCCACAAAAGTATTAAGTAGCTAGCAAAACTTTTTTCAACCATGATAATAATAATAATTTTTTCTTGAGTACCAAATCAGCATGTTAGAATGATTTCTGAGGCTCATGTGACAAAATTCAGCTTTGCTATAACAGGAGTAAATGACACTTTAAAACATTAAAATGCATTTAAATGGCAATTATATTTCACATTATTATTGTTTTTACTGTATGTTTGATTAAATAAATGCATGCAGCCTTGATGAGCATAAAAAGCTTCTTTCAAAAACATTTAAGAAATCGTACCGACCCCAGACTTTTGAAAGGTAGTTTACATCCCCTGCAGTTCAGCTGCAATTTGGATTAAGTAAAATAAGTTTTATGTGACCCTGGACCACAAAACCAGTCATAAGGGTCGATTTTTTTTTTATTTGACATTTATACATCATCTGAAAGCTGAATCAATAAACTTTCCATTGATGTATGGTTTGTTAGGACCATATTTGGCCGAGATACAACTATTTGAAAATCTGGAATCTAAAGGTGCATACAAATCTAAATATTGAGAAAATCGTCTTTAAAGTTGTCCAAATGAAGTCCTTAGCAATGCATATTACTAATCAAAAATTAAGTTTTTATATATTTACGGTAGGAAATTTACAAAATATCTTCATGTAACATGATTTTTGGCATGAAAGAAAAATCGATAATTTTGACCCATATAATGTATTGTTGGCTATTGCTACAAATATACCCGTGTGACTTAAGACTGGTTTTGTGGTCCAGGGTCACATATGACAGGGCAGACCTCAAATGTATTTATTTTTTTAAATCTTACTGGACCAACAAGTCGTATTCAGGCCTCGTTTGCTGTTGCTGTGACCTGACAGTAGCAGATATAGGAATGTTGTCACAGAATTAATTAGGCATGTGAACACTTAGAAAGAGTGATTTCTCCCTCAACCCAGTGTGTAATGATATCTAAAAAAAAACACTTGAAATAGATTTTCCATATCCTAATTAATATCCATAAGCTGAGCTTCTACCATTTCATGACTTCATAACTTTCTCACTTACAATTTGCTAACACCCATGAAACATTGCCACATGTTTGGAAATGACATACATGCATAGAAATGATAATCAATGTGCTCATCCTCTATATAGTTTGGTTCGCCTGCAATAATATCTTTTATTTTCTGTTCATCTCAACAGAGCAGAACAGCCCATGGTTTCTCCTCTCCGCAGGCGGCCAGCATCGTTCTCAGCAGCTCTAAAGTTTCCCTACCAAATCATAATCGCAGTCTCTCGATGGGGAAGCGCTGCAGGTACTTTCCCAGAGCTTCACATCTATTGTAAAACTTCTGACACTCCGTCCCTCTCCACAGAAGAGAAAGAAACGGAGAAAGAAATTTAATCAGCTCTCAATATGGCACCATATGTTCACCTCAAAAATGAACCACTTAAAAGCATTATAATAATTGTAACTGGTAGCAACCATGAAAATTTACATTTCCGAATTATGGTGGAATCAGTTTTTCACAATAGTTATTTACAACAACAAGGCCTGAATTAATTATCATAAATTCTAGCATTAGAGCCATGTGCTAATCTAAGGCTGTCTCATATATATGATCTTTGTCTCCTCACTTCAGAAGCTTTTTTCTGTTTCTATAGAAGCTGCTCGTTCTCCTCAAGCCCTGCCCTAAAACACAAGGTAACCAATTATCGAGCCGTCTCAAAGTGGACCCCGCCAATCTCTAGAGCAGGCCATCATCTCAGTGGAGGATCTCGAGATTCTCTTCACTCCTATAAACATCTCCAGGAAGTGGAGGTGAATGAGGTGATGCCACAATCTTTGAGAAGGTGAGCAATAAAATAAAAAAATGCGACAAACAAACAATGCAATGACTGCAATGATTTCTCTTCTCAGACACTTCAGATGTTTGTGGTACTTCTATGTCCCAGGGGTTGATTTTTTTTTGTTACAAAATGTTACAAAATATTTCTAAGATTTTCAGCTTTCTCTTTATCATTGAATCCTTAAACATGATCATGGTTTCCACAAATATATTAAAGGCAATAAGAAATAAGAATTTTAACTAGAGACACAGACCATGTCCATAGTGTCATTGTGTCGCCTGCCAATGACGTCATAACCCCTCGATTTCCGGTTTTGTTTTGTAGAAAACATGGAAACACCAAAGACGCTTTAATATGTTGTGTGTTTTAATAGACCGGTGACGACTGCACAGAGTAGCATTATAACAGAACTTTCAAATGTATCTAGTTTGATAAAACAGCACCGCTTTTTTTTCCCCACATACACATGACCGGAAGGAGCGGAAGCAGTCGACTGTGGCATAATAAAAGCTCCGCTGCTTTCGAGCTGTGTGTC